CTAGTTCAGGGCTAATTGGTCTTGTGACCGTAGTTAGCCTAGGATAAAAGTACAGGAGAACAGAGCAGATTTTAAAATCCACGAAATATTTACTGAGGGCTGGCTGGGTGCTAGGCATTGCCCTAGGCCGTGATGGGTGAACAAGCCAGAAAGGGTCATCCTACCCCTACCTAGGCTGTGTGTTCTCTAGGCACTGCTCCTCCTGCTGTTCTGCATGAAAGCTTCAACTGAGCAGGCAAGCCAGGTTTCCCTGGATAAGGTCCTAACTTTGGAGCCTTCCAAGTTCTTGGAAGGGCGGAAGATCTGGCAATAGTTCAGGTCATAGGGGTAAAGGCTACAGACACTGCCAGATACTTACATCCTGTTCACGCAAGGGTAGAGGATGTTTCTAAAAGATGAATACCTTCCCTTTCACCAGTGAGAACCTATTTCTGACATGCCTAGGCTATACAGTAAGCCACTCATTTTCAGTAGAAATTCTGACTTATTATTCTAATTAGCAAAGGGTCTGTCTGATATTGATCAGTACCACTAATTGCCTCTGGAGAATGAGTTTTATGAATAGAAGGCCAGTTAACCATCCCCATTACTAGTTTAAATGGTTGCTACATTGGTTTCTAGCTTAATGCAACTGAAAAGTAACCAGTCTTATACTGGCTACACTGAAGTATTTGAACTGTAGATAACTGTAATCCTTGGCCTTACCCACAGATACTCAGTTTGGATGGATCTGAAATGGGGTCCAGAATTCTGCATTTTTAACAATTGTACCCTGTTGAAGAAAGGCCTCCCACTGTATTTTGAGAATCCCTGGATTATTCTAGTAGAAGAAGCATAGGAGGCTAGACAAAACTGTAGTGGTAGATAAACAAACTGTGTACCTGTTCAATGGAATGCTGCACAACAGTAGAAAGTAACAAACTATTGATACATACAGCAACTGATGGATCACAAAAGTATTATGTTGAGTGAAAAAAGCCAATCTCAGAAGGTTACATACTATATAATTCTATCTATAGACTATACTTAAAATGACAGAATATATGATGGTGAACAGACAAATGGTTGCCAGAGGTCAGATACAGGGGTGTGACCATGAAGGGAAAATACAAGGGAGTTTCTTTGTGGTTATGGAGGAGTTCTGCATTCTTACGGGGGTGTTTTGGGGATAGTTGAACTGTTCTGAATTCTGATTGTGGTGGTAGTTACATAAATCTGTACATGTGATAAATAAGTTACACACACACACACACACACACACAGACGTGTATATAAAAACTGATAAAATCCAGATAAGTTGTAAGGTTTCTTGGTTCATGTTACTGTACAAATGTCAGTTTCCTGGTTTTGGTCATTGTATTATGATTATGTAAGATATGATCATGGGGGGAGCCAGGAGAAGGCAGGGTACCCAGGAGCTTTTTGTACTATTTTGACAACTTCTGTGTGAGTCTAAAGTTATTTCAGAATAAAAAGTGAAAACAAAACAAAACAAACGACAACAATGCAAACCTAGGTGGATGTGAAGTTGTAAATGTAAGGATGAAAGATGGTGTTTGAAAAAGAGAAAGGAAAGATAGAGGTTAACAACAGGGTGGAATCTACTGCAGGCACGCTGGGTTCAGATTCCTGTTCTCATTCTTGCTAGATGTGACCTTGGGCAGATTAGTTAACCTCATGTTTGAAATGGGGAAATAGCAGTATCTATGCCAAAGGAAGGGTTATTGTGAAGAAGACACACAAATACTTATGTAAAACACTTCGTATAGTGTTTGATACATGGGAAAGACTCAAAAAAAAAAGCCTATTCTTATTTGCTTAGAGATGTAGGGAAGGAATCGTCAAGGCTCTGGCTGAAGTGGCTGTGGGAACAAGGACAAGTGCAGGATCCCACAGCAGGGGCAGAATTGTCATGGAGAGACTGGGTGCGGGCGCTGGGTAGAGGAGGAGGATGCTTCACATGTGTAGAAGACACCAGTGGGCTCACCAGTTGGCCTGGGGGACAGGACGTTAGGAAGATACAGAGAAGAGGATGAAGTACAAACAGTGATCTGCAGGACCTCTTCCCTCTCAGAAAGTCTGAGCCAAAAGAATAAAAGCTCAGATGCTTAGTACTGATCTCCACAATATTTGGAGGAAAGTAAAGTTGTGCAGAAGATAAAGACATGTTTACTCTTGTTCTCATCTGAGTGCCTTGAGAAGTTAATGTTGCTGATGGAAATTGTGTCAAGAGATGGTTTCACTAGGGTCTTAAAGGATAAAGCCTGACATAATTATTCAGAAACTATTAATTGAGCAGGAACTGGGGATGCTGAAGTGAGTAAAAAATGGTTTTTACCTTCAAAAGTTCATATCCTAAAGAAAGAGTCAGTGAATGAAAGTCAAAGAAATACACAGTTCTTACAATATTCAATCAGTCCATAAGATAAGAATTTAAAGTGCTTGGTGGGGAAAGGCTTCACCGAAGAAGTCATCCTTGAACCTGCCTTTGAGCAGGACTTCGCCTAAGATGGTGGGTCAGTGAAGTCTCTGGGACCAAGAAACAATCTTTGGTTTAAAAGTATTAACATGAATCCCTATCAAAATACCCATGAGACTTTTTTCACAAAACTAGAGAAGTAGTTCTAGACTGTGTATGGAAACACAAAACACTCTGAACAGCCAAAAAAATTTTGAGCCGGAACAGAGCAGGGAGGTATCATGGTCCCTGACTTCAAACTATACTGCAAAGCTGCAGTAATGAAGACAGTATGCTCCTGGCACAAAAACGGACACATAGATCAATGGAACAGAATAGAAAGCCCAGAAATAAACCCACACACGTTTGGTTAGTTAATCTACAACAAAGGAAGCAAGAATATGCAATGGAGAAAAGACAGTCTGTTCAATAAATGGTGTTGGGAAAATTATATAGCTGTATGAAGAAGAATCAAATTACCTTTTTACATTATATACAGAAATAAATGCAAAGTTGATTAAAGACTTAAATGTAAGACATGAAACCGTAAAACTCCTGGCAGAAAACTGGCAGTACACTCTTTGACATGGGTCTTAGCAATATTTTTTCAAACATATCTCCTCAGGCAAGGGATACAAAAGCCAAAATAAACAAATCAAATGAAAAACCTTTTGCACAATGAAGGAAGCTATCAACAAAATAAAAAGGCAGTCTATGGAATGGGAGAACATATTTGCAAACAGTATATCTGATAAGGGGTTAAATGCCCCAAATATACAAAGAGCTCATACAACTCAACATCAAGAAAATAAACAACCCAGTTAAAAAATGGGCAGAGGAACTGAATAGACATTTTTCCAAAGAAGACACACAGATGGCCAGCAGACACAGAAAAAAAACACTTAACATCACTAACCATCAAGGAAATACAAATCAAAACCACAGTGAGTTATCATCTCCCACCTGTGAAGATGGCTTTTCTCAAAAAGACAACAGATAAGTGTTGGTGAGGATGTGGAGAAAAGGGAATCCTCATGCTCTGTTGACAGGGATGTAAATTGGTTCAGCCGCTATGGAAAACAGTATGGAGATTCCTCAAAAAAATTAAAAGTAGAACTCCTGTATGATCCAGCAGTTCCACTTCTGTATATTTCCCCAAAGAAAAGAAAAACACTAATTTGGAAAGGTATGTGCACCCCTGCGTTCACTGCAGCATATTCAGAATAGCCAAGTATGGAAGGAACCTAGGTGTTCCCTGATGGATGAATGGATAAAGAAGTGGTATATATAGACACAGTGAAATATTAGTCATAGAGAAGAATGAAATCTTGCCATTTGCGACACTGTGGGTGGACCTAGAGGGTATTATGCTAAGTGAAATAAGTCAAACGAGAAACACAAATACCGTATGATTTCACTTATGTGTGGAATCTAAAAAACAAAACAAATGAACAAACATGACAAAACGGAAATATAATAATAGAAACAGAGAGCAAACAGGTGGTTGCCGGAGGGGAGGAGAGTGGTGGGGTGAGTAAAATAGGTGAGGGAGATTAAGAGGTACAGACTTGCGGTTAAAAAATAAATGAATCACGGGGATGAAATGTACGACGTGGAGACTGTAGCCAGTAATACTGTAAACTTTGTGTGGTGACCGATGGCAAGTAGGCTTATCGGGGTGATCCTTTTGTAATGTGAAGAAAAACTGAATTACTATGTTGTGCACCTGGAACTAACATAGTGTTGTAGGTCAACTATACTTAAATTTTAAAAAAAAGTAGGAGCATGAGAATTTAATTTTGGCCAATACTGTGGGCCACTAAGCCACAGGCCTTTAATAGAGTCTTCATATTCACTCATTTTCTCTTCCCCAGATCTGGGTCCCACAGATGGGCAGAAAGGATGGGCACCCTGGTCATAGCTGGTGGTCACTTTTCATATTCCCCCAGGGGTCGTGATTGGGAGCGATGGAGCCTGACCCCATCCCGACATTGGCAGGCATACCTGGGGGACTGGGGAACATAGGACTGGCCTGCCCCAATCTCCATCACCAGATGGACATCCCGTTCACCTCCTCTTCTCCCCACAAGTTCATGCTTTCTGGAGTCAGAGGTGAAGGGAGTCCACTATGAGCCTAATCTCTTGGGGTCCCCGAGTTTTCTCCTTGATCCTTCTCTGGTTTTACAGGATACCCCCCAAAACCATAGCCTTTGCATTGTTAACAAGAGGTTCTTTTTGTGGTTGCAGGATATCATAAAAGGTTCATATTTTTCAGACAAGTAAAGCAAAAGCGCTTCTATAGAAAACGATTTGTCACGTGTTGGAAGGTAGAATGTTTCTGAAGCCAGGGCCACCATTTAAATGTAAAAACGTAGAGCTAAAGAAGCCACCTCTGAGAAATTTTCTGTTGTAGACCCATCCAAGAATGAATGTCCAAACCTAAAAACGTTATTATTTAAAAAAAAACCTCTGCCAGGAATTCAGCCAAGAGCTAGTCATATATCTAAGTATTTCACTGAGTCTGTCACATCTTTTTTGTTAGGATGCACCGCTAATTTATGTAACGTGAATAAAGAAAAATGTTGCTGCTTAACCTGTGACACTGTGAGATGTCAAAGATGTTATAACAAGAAAAAAAAAGTGAATTAGGAAATTAATGTAAGATGGAAGACAGATTTTCCTTTTCAGTCTTCAGAGACAGTAGGAGAAAGGATGAGGACTTGGTGGTTAAGCTGAAGTTTGATCCCAGCTCCCCTCTTACTAAGCTGCGTGGCTCTGGGAAGTGATGTTTCCTTAAACTCCATCCTTTCATCTGTGAAAAGGGATCACACCCACCTCAGCTGGGTTGAGGCGAGGAATAAATGATTTATTGGCTATAATGCTTCTCCCCAAATGCCCGTCAGAGAGTGTATATTTAATGAAAATTAGTTTCTCTTCCTCTTAGTTAACCCAGTCTATTTCTTGTATTCGTTTAGATCAGTTTCCTCTGGTTTCAGTCCTCTGAGGTGCAGGCCTGGTTCCACGCTGAGATGCCTCCTACTGAGGAGTCTGAGAATAGAGCATTGCTCTTTCTTGCCGTTGCTGTCGCCTTGCTCTTTGTCCTCATTCCTTCCTTGCTGGTAGGAGTGTGGACTTCGGTGATTCATTACCTGGACCGCTTTGTGCCAAGACCTATGCAAGATGGGCTCATTTACCTCTAAATAGCTCATCTAGTTACTGATTTTGCCTCCTTTTGTTGAGAAGACGCCTCTGTTTGCTTCCATCTTAACCTTGGGTTGCCTGTAAAATCTCTTGTGGGCCCCTAATTTTATGCTTGGTTGAATATCCATAATGATCACAAAAAGAGCAACTCTCATTTCTCCTATTATGGGAGTAGCTTAGCTCAGCATGGTTATTGCCCGTGTGCAGTGTCTTTGTCTCAGATAATGCTGTAGAGTGTTGTTAAATATTGCCTCTTCATCTTCTCTTTTCTCTGATGATCTTCTAATCATAGTCTCTTTAACTCATGTCTTCTCTGACTTCATCTAACTTCACTGTATCTTCTCCAACGCTGCTTTCTTTATTAAATTCTGTCTTCAAAGGGATTTGCTATATTTCATTTCTTCAGAAATGATAGCATCCACCTCTTTTTACAGGTGACCCTGCCAAAAAATAAAATCAAAGAACAACAAAGAAAGAGAGAAGAAGGAAGGATGGGAGGAAGGAAGGGAGGAAGGGAGGAAGGGAGGAAATTTTGTTCCACACTGCCTGGATTTTGTGGTTTGGTATGTCTTGAATTTCTACTCTGTTTAGAAGATTTGATATTATTAATTTAGTTAAAAGAGTACACAAAGGTAAATCACATTTTAGTGGGCAGAAAATATAAAAAGAAAATGAAAAGAAATTCAATTAATATATTAGAACACTATTCTGTTTCACTAGCAATAAGAAATTATCAAGATGACATACAATTTTCTGTCTAATGTGATGAGGCTGTGAAAGAGAGAGTGGTATTTTATTAAAATTCTTCTAAATTTAGCAAACAGGGTACACTTGACTTTTAGGGGAAATGTATATCTTAACTATAAACTATATTGAAAAAATTGTCACACATGAAAACATGCCAATTATTGAAATCCCTTTGGTTCAATATTTCACTGATTTTTAATGTAAACTTCTTCAATAAAGGAATAAAAGAAGAATAAAACTGAATGTTCATATTTTAATAGATAAAGGAAAAGACAGATATGTCAATATGTAGATAGGGAGGTAGCAACATACAATCAGAATCAAGTAGGCAGAGATAGTTCACCCACCGAGTAAATGTGTAAAGTAATTCTGGTATTTCTATTGATGGACTGTTACACAATCATTAAAATGAGAATATGGAAAGATAAAAATACAGACATGAAACCCCCTATAAATGTAATGTAGAGAAAAGAATATGTTGATTAATATGAATACGAGTAACCAAAACAGAATGATTTTTAACCATCATTTAATGAGTTTGAGGACCTACTATGTGCCACACTCTTTTGGGTGCTGCAGTTTTAGTGTCTAGCACAATAGACAGGTCCCAGCCCTCAGGAACTTGTACTCTAGGCAGGAGAAGCCAACAACCAAATAAATGATAGAAACATCAGACTACGGTGAGTGCCACGCAGAGAATTAAGAGGAAATGAGAGGGAGTATTCAGAGATAAGGGGAAATCGGTGGTCAGAAAAGGCCATTGGAAGAAGTTTTATGTTGTTTTTACTTTTCTTGCCATGTCTTCAAAATTCTTAAAATAATTGTCTTTATGATTCAGAAGTGCATTTCAGAAGGTACTTAAAGTGATAACAAGTTACCTCGATTTTTAAAATCTTTTAATTATTTGGATTCCATGGAAGGAATTTAGAATAGTGGTCCTCAAACTGAATCATGTGAGAGTTTTTAAAAAGTCAAGTTTTCTTAAAAGAAGAAAATTCATGTGGCTGCTTCAGTGAATAAGTTTTAGTAAAGTTTCCTACCATCTCATGACTTGGATTGTTCCTGTCATAAACTTAGATTCACTGCAGCTGTTTCCTGCAAAATGCAAAAGCGTAACTTTAACAAGTTTCATTTCCTGTACAGATAAAAGCACAGAGAATTATTGATAGATCTCTGGGCAGCCCTTTCCCTACAGAAACAGATGAAAATTGGTGCCTGTTAGTTATGGTAGGAGAGCTTTTTGCCTGGTCCATGGAGTGATTCTCTTCTTGTCACTGATGCTGCAGCCCACAAATTTGTTTCTGCTGTATTGGCTGTTGTGGTTGTTCCTATCATAGCTGAGGAAATACTGCTTTGGAGATCAGGAACATTGTAAAAGCCACACACAGTGGTCAATAAGTTGTGAGAATGTCAATAACTTAGAAGTGATACACCTAAACCCTAGCTCTTCAGTGAAAGGAAATGTCCCAACTCTGTAGGAGCCTCTTGACTACTACACCAGTGACAGCAGATTAATGCATCTGAATGATGTAAACTCCACAAAGGCAGGAGCTTTTATCTGCGTTGTTCACTGCTTGTGTCCTCATCACTTAGAACCAGCACCAAGTGCAGTAAATATGTGAATTTGTCAAATGAATGTAGCCTGTACCTATCTGTGCCTGCAGGTGTTAGACCACCTGCCGTTCTGGGTAACTCCTTGCCCTGCTTCTCATTCAAACCGTCAGTCAACTCTCTCCTTCCGTTTGTGACCAGACATTCCCAAAGCTGAGCCTGTTCTCACAGCTTCAGTGTTTTCATGTCATGTTTATTTTTCAGTCTTTCTTCTCTCCATAATACCTTTCTAAAGTTATTTCTTCTAGGCCACCAGTGATGACCTAATACCTGAATCGCATGGCGTCTGTTCACCCCCCATTCTTGAGGATTTCTCAACAAAACTGCTCTGCTTCCCCTCCTTGCCCTTTGAGACACTTGTCCTTCCTTAGCTTCCAAAACAGGATGCTCTCTTAAGTCTCTCTCCTACTTTCTTAGACATCTTGAGTTGCATCTTCAGTGATTTCACTTTCTCTGACAGCCGGATGGGGGCATTCTGCCCAAAGTGTCACCCTCCCCTGGGAACGCGCGTTCATTCCCATAACTTACCAATTTTAGGTGAATACTTCGTACAGTTCCATCTTCTTTCAATCCTGTTCTCTCATCTGATTTTCAGACTTTTGTTTCCAAATGTTTGCAATGCATATCATAATGAATCTTCGATGTGTGATGTAAAATCGAGAGCTGGTCCAATCCGAGCCCACTGGCCAGTCCCCTGGCTTCTCCTTCCTCAGTCCCCATCGCTCTCCTTTATTAGCATTACCACCGTCTAACACCCTTCCTACTTGTCATCGTCCAGGCTCGAAGCTGAGAGAGGTCTTTGATTTCTTCCTCTTTTTTCACTCTTTATGTCTAATGAATTCCTTCGTATTTATTAAGTCCTTTCTACCCCAACATCTCTCTAAAATATCACCCCCCTTATTTCTCATCTTTAGTGTAAGTCTGGTTTCTTGTTTCTCTTACTGCCCCACTTATTTTCCAAACCATTGATTGTGATTTCTTTCTTCCCTACTCAGTTCACCTCCAGTGATTCCCTAGTGCTTATGGATTAAAGTACAGATGCTGTGGCATTTGAGACGCTGCATAATGTGGCCCCAGCCCTTTTCTGTTGCCTTAAGTCTAGGTACACCCTGATTTAACCGTGATCCATCTAGGTTATTCTGTTATTGGCTCTGAACACAACTAGAGTGTTTCTGTTTTCATCCTGTGTAGGTATTGTTACCTGCAATATTCTTTCCTTTTTCTCTTATTATATGTGTAATTTCTACTTATTCTCTAATATTGAACTCAAATCTCTCCTAGTCCATGAGATTTCCTTTAATACCTTATCCTTCACTGAGCTCACTCCTTTAATAAAGCAATTATTTTGTGCTAGGCACTAGAGCA